TTCGGTGTTAATTTTTTTATTATCACTCTGGTTCCGTTGCACAGTTTCGGCGCATTCAAGTTCCGAATAAGCATCACTGGTGATCCAACTTTTAACGCCAACGAATGAGGAGGCATTCCAGGTGGCTCCAAAGAATTAAGAAATTCAGTTGGGTAATTAACAGCTTGATCTTTGTCCATTACTGTATCAATCGATTTATATTCGACTGCTTCTCCTGGAATTTTCAATTGAATTTGACCGTTTAATTTACTAACATCATCGTTCTTCGGAGCTAAAATTGCACGTTCGCTGAGCCATTCCGGATTTCGGTAGTTGATCGTTAAGTTCGGAAATACTCTGTCGATGACGTCTTGAATGCTCTGCTGCATTTGACAATAGTTGGACGGAAATGATATCTCATTTGTTGTGCAATCAATATGAACTTTACCGTTTCCGATATCTAAAAGTTGCTTTGAAAATATTTGGGCAGACGTATCTTGCAGCAAATGCACTCGCATATTTGTTGTGAGCGTAATTTTTTCGACATAGTTCCACAGATGCGATGCCTTTAAGCACGCGTTCAGCTCGTCTGCAGGCGTTGATCGTGGTATAACGGGTAATGTTTGACGAAAATCACCTGCAAGAAGTATAAGAGCGCCTCCCATCCGTTGGTCTTTTCTATGTAGGTGTTTCGGTCTGGTGAAAATTCAATGGAAGCTTAAGTGCTGAATGCGCTGTACGTCCTCCATCAAGTAGTGTTGATGCAATCCCCGATGATGCTACTGCTACTGCAATCCCATTTCGCATTCGAACTGACGCCAATATTAAATTGATGAGGAAAGTTTTCCCGGTACCTCCTGGAGCATCTAGGAAGATAATTCCGCCATCTCCTTTGGTTACACGTTGCATGATTTTGTCATAAGCTTTTTTCTGATCAGCAACTAAAAACTCTTTTTGCGTTTGCACAAATCGTTCAAGCTGATTTGCATCAAACTGCTGTTCTCGCATCAAGTTCGCTGGCATACCGAGTTGACAAAGAGCTTTGTTGTTGATTGACATGCATAAGTCCTCCATTAATATTAAAGCTTCATTGAAAATGTCATCCGAATATTCCTGACTTGGATCGCTTGCACGTGCTTGTCTTAGAATATCTTCACTGAGGCTTTCACGATGCATTTCCCACAGTTGTCGAAGATTCGATGGTGCGCATGTTGTTAAAATTATCGCAAACAAAGTTCGTATTTGCTTTGGATGGCACGTGAGTGATGCTTCGGTCAGAGTTGTGTTCCAGTTCTGATCATTCTCAAGTAAGCCCAGTTTAAAGCACGTTTCTCTGTACGTTTGGCATTCTACTCCGTCGATGGTTTTCAGTGCAAGGAATGATGTCGGCCCTTTTATTGTATGCAGCAACAACCGCAAATAATAGCACTCGGTGATATTTGGATGAACAGTATACACACGTCCCAATGCATCGGACGAATATATACCAGGATGCTCTGGAACAATTGCACCTCTTTTTCTTCTGTTGAACTTTTTTGTCGATGTGTTCCACGTTTTAGCAAAATTTTCGGATGTACACAATTCGAAAAAAGCAGTCAGTGTTGTGTTTTGTGGTTGCTCTGCTCAATTTTGCGCATTTTCTTCGGTGAAGTAAACCCGCTGACCATTTTCCAAATGAACAGCGAGATGTTGAACCGTTGGATATCGTTCGTGAATATTGAATGCAAATATCCGCCATACTGCTTCGTTACTGCTGATGTAGCGCCCTGTTTGATATTGCGTGATCTCATCACCTCGATTTGCTAATCCGAATACTGCTATGTCACTGCCCTTGTTAACATATTTACAAATATATTTTATGGACTTTACCGAATTACAATACTCAACATTGATGTGAGCATTAAACATTTTTGAAATTAGTGGCGAGTATGGCACGATCCATCTATTGTCTATGTCGATATCTACACTTCGCATCTTAATAGTAGTTGTGTATCCACCATTAGTGGGATTTCTTCGCCTATACAGAGGATATCCATCACCTCATGTTTGAGTTTCAGTAATCAACTCACGTGGATATCGCTTTGTGCATTTGCCGTTTTGCATACATGGTGAATTAGGATTAAAAGTACCGCATGGCCCATGAATCATATTTTTCTTGATTATTTCAAAAAGAATGGGATCTTCGGCTTGATTTGGAAGCTCGGCTGATATAACGCTATCAATTTGTGTAGGTATAATTTTTTGCTTCAACCAAATCAAAATGTGAGCGTGTGGTAAGCCTCTCTTTTGCCATTCAATTGAGTACATCCAGCATCTGGTTTCTCCAAAAACAAAATTCTTCGTGATGACATTCATAAGACTTATTAGCTTTTGCTTGAATATTCGAGCGAGAAGATCATGTCTGTGCGATGAGCTCTGGCCTGCAAAAAGCAATTCGGTTATTTCACTCCACGATGGATTGCAAGTGAAGGTGATGAATAGGTCTGGTCGTCCATACTTTCGAACGTACGTCATAGCATCTTGCCCGTATTCATGCATGTGCCGCGGGCTTCCTGTATATGTTACAGGTAAAATTACCATTTGTCCAATGTCAGCAATGTTTCCATCATTAGCAACTGCATCACGTAAATGAACGTATTCTTCAACGCGCAGCTTCTTTTGATTTAAGCGAATGAAAAGAAGATGTTCACTTTCGACTTTCGCGTATATGTCCACAATAAACTGTTGGAATAATTCACGACATTTTAAGATATGATTGGATTCATTTCCACGAATCATAATGCGGTTTGCATAATAATCCATGCAGGACACTTTCTTTGTCGTCGCTTCACTTGTGCTGGGGTCGACTTGCCTGATGTTGAAATGATATCCTTCTTCTCCATGGGGAAACAGCACTGGATATTGGAGTGCATCATACGATCGATGTGTTTCCGATACTCTCTGCACATTAGCATTTCGCCGGTGGATAATGATGTCACGTCGATCGAATTCGGTGCCAACTATTACAATTGCAACATCCCCTATTACTGGAGCATTGAAGCCCCTTTCATGTTCACCAGCAGGAGCTTTGTCTGCTCTAATAACAACACTATAGTAATCTGATGGCATTTGATCCAGAGCTGTTTTAAAAAGGCGAATCAAAT